CAAATAAGAATACGGTATGTGGCTGGGTAGCCAGTAGTTATGCATGTATTTAGATTTTTATATATCTTTGAGGAAAATTAATACAATTAAAATTAGGCGGCTTTGCCGCAGATAAAACAAATAAATGCAGTTTACATTTAAACAGAAGAGTTTATTAGCTCTGGGTTAAGGTTCTAAATACTCTAGGAGGTAGCGGATTGCGATCCGGTACACTCGTACTGGCTCTGTTTCGGAGAACGTAAGGTCGGTGACCTAAATTAAGCTTCCTATAAGCGCGAAGCTATGGCAGCCTCGCTGCACAAAGCGTATATGTATGAGGGCGCTTCGCGGGCGACTGATATCTCGAATGGAATTACAAAGCGTTATCAAGAAAGCAACTGAATCGTTCCAGACAGACTCAACATTCGAGTCATCCGAGACCTTGAAACGCTATTTGATGAAAACTTTGGACATCTCCGAATGTATCATCAACTTCAGAAGTACATGTTAAATCGAGGATTGTCAATACTGGCGCCAAAGCAAAGTCTTCAGTAATTGATGTAGATGTACCGGCAAAGCCTTTAATAGTTGATGCTGGTATCAACAACACTTCTATCACAAAAGATGCTATGGTTGCATAATAAGTTGGGACGATAATGATGATGATAACGCTGAAATCAAAGAACGTGATAAGAATCAAATATATGAATTTTATTTAAATCTTGTACATTTGTACTTTCATCCAATGTTCGTCAGCTAACAGAGTACCACATCGGCAAATGTTGAGATAAGTTGCTCAATTCTGTCTATTTCATGTGCAAAATTATTATATTATATTCATATGCATTACCAACGCAAATAGCCGAATGTTTTACGCGTAGTGGGTCCACATTTATGATTGAAGGTTCATGACCCCAAAATACAAAGTTTAATTATCATGGTTCACTGTAGGTACCAAGCCAGTATCTACGTCTCCTCCTTCTTTTAATGCTTTACTGATCAGATTGTATATTTTCAGCAGAGTGGTTTGGTATATAATTTGTATTATGAGGACAAGAAAGACAGGAGTATAATAACATTTTCTTTCTGGGTTTTACCATCAAATCAAGATTATTGGAATTTGTAAAAGCTGCACTTGTATGATTGAGGTAAGTAGATATGATGTATCGATCGTATCAGCATCTATATCGAAGAAGCGAAGCGTTTAGTAATATATATGTAAGTTACAATAATAACCCAAATTTTTAATACCGCTTGTCCATGTGTGGACTTTCGACATGATACTTAAAACATTAAGGTGGACCGTATTAATCTCATGAACGTTTTCTATAGTGCTCGGCTGAGATGAGCCAGATCTTTGATTTGTTCTAATTGATTCGCCGTCACACTGGCACCCATAGCGCTTCACTCCTTCGAAACAGGGAGTAACTTAGCTACAAGGGATGGGGAAGATGATGCTTTGTCTGCAATCAAACAACTAACATGTTAGAGCGAGATCGTGTAATCATTCGTGTAAAACCGGCACAATGGCAAAACCTGGCATTCATGCAGGGAGAATTTGGCGGCAGTTCTCAGTAAGGATAAGTATGATAAATTTAATCTTAGGCTCACAATAATTTCCTTATACTTCAGCTCTAAAATATGTTTAGATTTGTTGGCAATATTAGTGAGAAAAGATTTTTCGAGCAAAAGCAACTTCAACGACGCGCATCCTGCATCAAAATTGACAATTTGTTTGATGAAGACTATTAATACTCATCTCGGACTACGCAAGACAAAGAACAAATTTGATTCGATCGTTACGAGCCCATTGGTCGTCCCGGAAGACAAACTTGAAGCACTCTTTCTTCAGCTCATGATGGTAACCAATAAACTTATTCCGCATTGCAGTTACATTGCAAAAATCTCAGAAGATAATCTGAGCCACGATTCACTGGGAAATTATATTTCTCTTACGAGCTAGCTGTCGATCAAATGACATGGTTGAAGTCGAGGAACTCTAAACATCTAGAAAAAATACCCACTAAGTCTTATCTTACGGTTTTTAAATGATGCCAATTTAACCCAAAGAGACATTGCTGAACGACTTTGTCCGGATTTCGTGAGCATGTGACCAAATAATAGAGTATCGTTAATAGATGTCAGAATCAAGATCCAATGACAAACAAGTAATTCGAAAAATATGAGAAGTTTACAATTTCTCATTTACGACAATGAGCTGAATAAGCTTTCTGAGATGTTGAATTATTTTTTTTGAATTTTCATACCGAAAGCAGCTGTCTAGTTTTATGGTATAGCAATTCGTCGCGACTGTCAAGCTTCACTCTTACAAATGCGATAGTAAGGAGCAGTGCAAAGCACAAGTCATGAGCTTTTAGGCTGTGTAAATACTTAGATTGTAGGTTTCCGCTAGCTAGACATCGACAATTTTGCTTCTGCGATTAATTGCTATCTCCAACTTCAAAGCAAAGCACGAACGACTATCATCGACTCTATAATTCTTCAGCTTATTCGATCCGATGCTGCACGATTCTCACTTTCCAGCGCACCTCGACGTCATAACAGCGTTTTGCCCCCAGTTATCGCGTCTTCTCACCCCTTCGTCCTGGTGCAAACTTTCCTGATCGATTGTCGAACGTATTACGCAGCTTCCACAAAACGTGGATGCCGCAACATTAGCACCGGTTAACATTTTTCGGCGTTGAATGACTCCTCTAAATTGGGTATCTTTCGATTTGTTCAAAAAACCATCTCGAAATTGAACAACAAAAACCGATGGATATTCTCATATCCATCGCTTTTTTGCTGACTTTCAAGCAGGTAAATATTTCAAGGATTCGAGCTATCGTACAGCCGGTCCACATTTTGAACCAGACGCTGTTAACTTGTTTTTGAATCAAAGTAGCACCATGTTTCTATAATTTAGTCATCCTCGTCGTCTTGCTTGGTATATGTAACTCTTTTATCGCGTGCGAGAGACCCGTGCAATCTAGTCGAAAACTCTACTATAAAGAAGAAGTACATGGCAACATGACTAAATTAATTGGTGTTTCCAACAACTTGGTTGGCATCGTCGACGACAAGGGTACAAAAATCAATGTAAATCCAGCGAATCAGCGGAACAGCAGAACGAGGTCTATTGTGGTAAGCTGATTGATGATGTGATCAAGAAAGAGAATGAGATGAACAAATTCTACACATATTTGAAACGGTTTGCCAACCCCAAGCCAGCATCCTTCTTCCAAACGCCTACCAGTGATTCTATGACAACTGCGAGCGATGAGGGCAATGTCAACTATGTCAATGAACTTAAGGAATCGAACACACTGTATCGCAAGGCCAGCGTACTATCTTCTGTTCTAGACAGTCGAGGACCGTACGTAGTTGCACGACGTACTTTGATCTATCGGGATCGATCCAGGACGTTAATGATTGTAGGGCAGTGAGCCCTATTTCTCCACGTGAGAATGGCTTCTCTTAGGCCCGGCTTTGATTCCTTGCGATCTTATCAAGTACAAAAATATTCAGTTATGTTAGCCGGAACTTGACATCTCTCCGAGCGCGTTTTGTCGAACGAGAAGAGTCAACGCAACTTTTTGTACCTCTCAGCCGATACCAGAGGAAGCACGCAGGGTATAATTTTTACTCCCACAAAGAGTATACCAGCACGGAGCTACTCGATAGCCAAACGATCCCTCTCTTCTACATCAGTCCGGCTGAGGTCCGTTGCCTCTTACGCATTCGTAGAGCAAAATTCACTTTCAGCAACTTTATCAATCTTTGAGTCACGGTAGCTGAACTCTGCATTTAATGCAACGCCCACCGCATTGTTAAAGCTATAAGACACGTTTTCAATGCGAGCCGCACCCGTTCGAAGATCTTCCATGTGAACAAAAACGGCTAACTTTCGGAAAAGAGTCGTATTCCGTAACTTCTGGAAATGATCTCTGGGGAAATTCGATTATGTCTCCCATCCTTGATGGGTTGGAAATATGGCCAAACGTATCCGGTACGCTGAGTTAAGCGATGCAAACCTTGCTGTTTTCAAACTGCGCGCCAGAATGGGCCTTCACAGAGTACCTCGATTGTATAGACGTTCACAACATAACGGTTGATGCGTCAAACCGGGCATGCGATGTTGCTTCGTGTGGGCCACGAAAGGATTTCAAACCACGTTGATGTACATGTGAACGAGAAAGAGACTTTTTCCGATTTTGGCTATGAAACGTTCGGATGCTCAGCACTAGTGGCTCCACCATTGGGTGCTCGGATGGAAAGCGACTCACCAGCGAAATCCTAAATTAGGCGAGTAATTACTGCTTTTCTCGTCCCTTCGGACCTCACGAAATACGTTAAGAGGGTTGGGTCGCACCGAAGTCAGATAGTCGAGTATTCATCTCCACAGAGGAATAAGTCTTGTCACGACGAGGGAATGAATACGACTACATAGTACAGTGGAATTGCTGCGCACTTTGCAGAGGAAACGCTTCGACTCTAAGTGTCAAGGTTTTCAATTGCTCAGATATTGAATTGTGTTCTTCAGGTAGAAGCGTGAGAATCCAATTTCTGCATTACCTGGTATCTAATAAGCTTTTTTTACTGCTGTCAAGAGTAATAATATGAGTTTTATTTCGTAAGAGAGAACTGGCTTTCTTTTCTGACGTGCGGCCAGCTGTCTGCGTGTACCACGGACCTCTCTTTTCGTAGATTCATCGTCTTTGTGATTACCAACACAACGGTACTCATGAATGTTCATAATTCCACGAAATTGCAATGTAAGTTTCGTCTAACTGAATAATATTGATTAATTACAATCATAAAAATGTACGCAAATTGTGCTGTACATTGTACTATTTACTGCAAAATGGTACATTGATGAGGTCTCTAAGAAGGTGTAGGGGCACTCAAGACATAAATTTTTAAAGTGTTTGTGCGGACGATGTCACCTAATCCATTACACCCGTCCACCAGAGTACGCCAAGAGAAAGATCGCAAGTTAACGTAATCCTAATGTGGTTTCTCTGGCATTGTCAGAACTGTTACCAAATCCGTCTCCAGAGCAGGTGTAGTTATCTAAGTCCACTTGTTCCGAAACATAAAACGCTATCCATACATTTTGTGATCTAGTCACTTTGAACAAGGGTCCATCAGACTATTAGTATCCAAGATATGTTCCAGCCAAGCGGTACAGCCTGCAGCGAACTCCTTTTGTTCTGTGAACATTCGCAACTGGTTCACGAAGCTTCTGAACGTCACGAACTAGCCAGGCGAATTCCCAAATATTACGCCAGCAGTTTTATTCCTAACCAATTTTTACCATGGAGAACCTTTATTCGGGATAGCAGCAATTTTAACGATGCGACGTCTTTATGACCCTTTGTAAGCCGTTGCAGTCATCCGAGAATTGAGCGTGCACTCAAAAAATATCATTCACTGATAACCAGATCAGCAACTTCAGGGCACTGCTTGGAGATTTTATTACTATGTGCCCCACGCCTTAAATATCGCTGCTACCTGGCAAAGGTGTACCACAAGAATATAAACAATATGAAAATTAACCTTCACGAATTTCAGTCGATCACTTGGTCGCTGCTGGAACGCCACAATATACCGCATTTTCGAATCCTTGATTGAACTTAAACCTCACCGACAAATACGTGAAGAGCAAAATTGTTA